ATATAGAATGATAGTAAAAGTTTTATATTTAAGGCTTTTACTTAAATTTGTGCAAGTTTCTAATTTATAATTAAATCAAAAATTTATAAGAACACTTTCTAAAAAGGCATATTCCTTTACTTTAATAACCATGTATGGTTGTACAGCATATAATAAAACTTTTTTATTTCTGCTAGATTCTAGATTCTAAAGACTTATGACAGCATGAGTTTTTTTTAAATGAGAAAACATTTTTTCTCAAGGTTTTTAATTTTATGTTTTTATGTTAATGTTGAATTTCTTTAAATTGTTATTAATTAACTTTTGCCTATTAGAACAATATGATTCTCACTGTTTTGAAAAATTTGTTTTTATTATGCTTTAATGTGTCATGTTTGAGAAACACGAAAAGTGAAACACTTTAATAAACTTTTGCTTTAATTACAAAGGGTTTCTTCGACCTTCATCAGAAAATTTTAAGAAATTCTTATATTACATAAAAAAACTTTGATAAATTACAATTTGTAAAATAAATTCATATTGGAAAATAGCATTGATTTTTAATTTTTAAGACCCTATAAGTAAACATTTTTCTATATAAATACGATAATACTTTATTTTTGTACCAAAAATTTTAGTTTTTTGCACAGAATTTCAAATATCAAAATTAATTGTAAATTGAAAATTACAAAATTTTTGAATAATTCTCAAGTGGACCTCAAGTCTATATGAGAAAATGTATTTAGTAATTTGATCATTTTCTAATCTAATATGTGAAAATAATAGTTTTTCTTGAAAACTGGTAGAAAATGCCCAATGTCATCAGTACGATTTCTATAATTTTCAAAAATGTACTTGGTATTTGCAAGTAAATCATTCATATATAATTTATTCTATATAAATATAAGAATAAGAAAGCAATTGAAAATAAAAATTAAGATTTTGAAATTTATATATTTTTTTAAAGCTATGATGAATATACATAGGAAACATGATATGAAAATGTATACTGATCCGAAGATCAAGCATATTCGAAGTATGATACTCTAATTGTTCTATAACTTCTATAAAACTTCAGATAAATGGAGTTGGATATATATTTTTCCGGAAACAATGTTTCGGAGCCAAATAAGCGCAACAAATTACTTGTTCAAGGAATGGTGCTTTTTTGTTGACAAATTACATAAAAGCTTGTTAAAATCAATTTACAAGGAAGAATACACGCATGTTAGTAATTATAATTATTTTGAGATAATTACAAAATTTAATGAATTTCTCCATGTGAACGAAGTCTCTAATACAATGTCAATATTCATCAACTTTATAAAAATTAATAAACAATAGATAATAAAGTCTAGCTGAGATTGTTTTAACTTTTAATTAATTTAAATGTTTCCGTAATTTCTAAATTTTTTGGAAAAATTTTTATTATAGTATTTTAAATTAAAATTTTGGGTCTTTCTGAAACATTTAAAAAAAAATTTGTGTGATACATTGTGTATTTATCAAAGAACCATTCCAATAGAATTTCAAAAAATTTATAGTAATTTCCCGCTAAAAAATCAAGTCTTCATCTTAAAAAATATTTGTGCACGAGTATTGTACCCTTGGAACAATTTTATACTATTCACATAATTATCACTCTAAATACATATTTTCTCACCTTAATTTCTCTATAATATGTGATAATAAATTTTTAAAAACTTCATTTTCCCGATACCATTTCCAATTCTACTAAAGCAACTGCTAAATTTTTTTAAAAAAATAACTAATTAACCTTTTGATTAAAATTAATAATTGAAATTTGAGTTTTTTTTTCCCAATTATAAAAGTGTATTAATTATAAACATAAAAAATAAAATTTTAAAATATATTTTTATTTCATCAAATCTAAGTTTTTATGATTAAGTTTTTATTAGCCGATGAAAGAATATATAAAAAATAAACCAAATCTTTCATAAAATAAAAGTAAAACGGCCAGTTTACTACTCGTACATTAATAATGTTAAAAAAGAACACCAATTTTGGTATTGGAAAATATTTAAAAGCGTTCAAAATAATTTTATGATCAGGTTTTTGCATTTTTTTTAACAATCCTAATCTTTATAAAAGGTAAGGTTTAGGATGGTCATAGCCATTAATGAAAATTTTATGGAGATTTTATAAAATTGTTATAAATGCCGTAATGAGTTTTTAACATGCAATTTAAAGAAATTTTTACTAAAATAATATTATACGGTATTTTAAAAATGATTTGTTAAAAGAAAAATATAGGTTAAACATTTATTTTCTAATTATTCTATAGGTCAGTTACTCTATACTAATTAAGGTTTTGAACTTGAAACTTGTAAATTTTTGAGTATTAATTTACTTATGGTTTTATACAGAAAGATATACGAGATGACAATTGTAATAAATAATAAACAAATAAATGTGAAATTTAAAAACTTAAAATATTAAAGTCTTCCACACATATGAAAGAATTCTTGTAGACCAATATACTAAACACAATATGTAAATGTATATGAAAGAAAAAAATATATTTGTGTACTATACAAATTGATGTTATTTGATGTTAATGAAAAGGGTTGCCAAATGTGAAAGTTTTGATCAAAGTTAACCTTTAGGCCTACTTTCGCCTATGTATGTTTAAATACACCAGCATGTATTGGAAGAGTATCTATACATAATAGCGCACTTTTTCCTCCAGATGGTCTTAATGAATGTATTTTACAGTAGACAGATTTTTAGAGCGTTTTTTCGAAAACTAATTAATATTTTTCTTTTAATTTTTCCATCTTATCTCTCCAATACCAAATCAGTTCTGAAATCAATTTGTTTTAAAATTCAGAATTGTCTTAGATGTCAAAATAGTTACAAAATATCTTTGACATTAGAAAAATTTATAGATTGATTTTTCTTTCTGAGGTAGCGTTCCATTGCGATACTATATACTTTATATACTATTTTGTAAAATCTAAAATAAGTATTTGTCAAATATTTTGAGTTCAATTGTTTTTCGTATTAATTGATCAAAATTTTCGCTCAAATACCTTTTCTGAATCTCTGGTAAACCTTTTTTGAATTTTAACCAAATAATTACAGTACCTCTTATTACATGAAATTCTTAACATGTTAAAAGTTTTATGAAGGAAAACACAATAAAGGAAAATAGTCGGTCCAATCCAGGGTTTGTAAAATAGCACATTTCCCTTGAATAATTTATGTTTCAAACTTATAATTATAAAGTTTGAGATCTAAAAAATGAAACGTTCAATTGCAACGCAATTTAAATTGTCGCTAGGGAAAAATCATTTTAAAATTTAATACTTTAAAAATTTGAATGGTCAATTGGTTAAGATACAGTGGTTGGAGATTTGAAGAGGAAATTAGTTACGTAAGAATAAAAGTGATTTTACTAAGATCTATTTTCCAGCAAAATACTACCTTCCTATATACGGAACGATAGAGAAGTTTTGTAAACAGAGAAATCTTTTGAAAATATGCTAAAAAGAATAAGTGGGTAAGTATATTGACTAAATTTTACATATAAACTTCATAATATTTCTTTCGGGCTATGTATACGGTTAATCGGGAAAAACAAAAACAAAATTTTATTTTATAGATTCATCACAGTTTGATAATATTTTTAAACCCTCAAAACAATACACAAGATAGAAGTTAAACAAAAGTTTTTTTTCCAATTTAATCACTTTTAAGATGAAATAGTAGTTTAAATTTTTAAACATATATACATACATACAACGTATTATATGCATAATAAAAAAAGTGTTTACTATTCTGGTTTATCAACTGTAGTAGAGAATAAGAAAAAAAAGGTCGAACAAACTATGAAACGATTAAAGAAATATTCTTTCGTGCATTCTCAAAATTTATGACACAAATAAATTGAGTTTTATAAGGCAAAAATATATGACAACAATATGTCGGTTAGTGATTTATATTTTATACAATATTATATTTGTACTATACATAGTTCATTTATATAAAGCACCCTTATAAACACTTAATAATTAAAAGCATTTGTAATATTTGAATACGACAGATTTTGAGAGGTAACATTTGTAACAGGAAATGACATACTAATGTGTTCTTGAAGAAAATGTCAAAGCTTTTTTTTTCGTATCTTGAAAGTTTCGTGCATAAGTTGTGCGTGTGAAAACTCGATCTAGTAATGTTTTCAAATAACTGGTTCTATTTGGAAAATATTAAACAGTTTTCAAACGTATATATATATGTGTCTTTTAAAGTCGATACAAATTTTATATGTGGGACATGCAACAAATAGTAAAATGTCAAATAATATCTACAAGTTATTATTACATATTAATAAATAATTGCGATTATTAATTTAGAAATGCGAAAGTCTGTAATTAATTGTATGTAATTACATGCTTTCGCATTTCTTCACATGTTATAATAACAAATACGCTTTTTTGCATATAAGTTTACTGTATATGTATGTAGTGTAAAAGATAATGTCAATGAAAGTTCATCTTTATGACTACTATAAGAGAAAATATGAATATAATATAATTTATTCAGAGCTATTCGGAATGTACAACGCAATACGATCACTTTTCATCAAATCTCACTTTTCACCCCACTCTCTTCTCACACGATTAGTAAAAAAATAAGGTGCAAAATCAATTCCATAATGTGATGGTAGTTATAAAACTACATTATTAGAATTAATGCAACACAGTACAACACCATTGGTAACACACAAAGCGCCACTTAATAGTGCAACAAAAATGAGAAAAATTTTAAATAAAAATGAATGAATCCTAAGCTTGAAAAATTCAAGTTTTTAAAAATTTGGTACATTTTGTAAAATTTTTGCCATCATTTATTTTTGCACATGTTCATATAGATTTACAGAAAACAAAAATAAAAAAAGATGAAAAAATAAGAAAAATTTTATTTATTTTTTTTCTACTCATTTTTTTTTGGGTTGGTTTTATATAAAAGTCTTGACATCTTCAGAAGTTGTCATCAGTTTGTTATTAACCAACATTGGGTTAAAATAATTATTGCAGCTTAAAAAAATTATTCTAACAAAATGAAATCATTTGTAAGGATTATTTATTTAAATTTTTTTAATATTTTATGAATTATAAAAAAGTGAATAGAATTTTTAAAAATTAGTGTTTTTATAAAATTTTAAAAAGAGTCATAAGTGTTGTGTTTTAGCAGTACACGCATAGCATAATGATTTTTAATTGCTCGGAAGTTGCAGTTTTTGTTTTAATACGGATAATACGAATAGTTTTAAAAAATTTTCTTACTACTACAAGAAATGAATAAATTGATTCAAATGCTAATTGCTAACTCATTTCGTGACTAAAAGAAAAATTTTAAATTAATATTAAAAGAATTTTTATGTTTGTAAAAAAAATTTATACTTTCTTTCTGAAACGAGCAGAACAACAGTACTTGCCTTCGTTATTTAATGAAGTAAAAAAAATTCTGCTGGAAGCTACTGTAAACGACAATTTCTAAAGAAACGTTGAAAAAATATTTGAATTCGACTTACTAACTTTTTTTTATCAAATTCAATTTGAATATATTAGGCCTAAAGATGAATCTTTTCTTCTTAGTTTAAAAATGATTAAAATAACTTGATAATATTTCTTATATTTTAAATAATTTTTTAATTGTCTTTCAAGATTATTCTCTCAGTATTTCTTGCAATGGCTTCAGCAGCCAACTATGGTCGTGCCAAACAACCATTCCAAGCACCACGTCAACAATATAAACCGCCACAACCAAATTATTCTCAAAATCAATATCATTCATCTGGTGCTGAAATTCCAATTTTACGTCAAGATTCTAATATAGATCCAAGTGGACAATATTCATACAGTTTTGAAGCAGCCAATGGAATTCAAATAGCTGAAAGCGGAGTTGGTGGACAACAAGCGCAAGGTTCAGCTGCATGGACAGCACCGGATGGTACACCCGTTCAAATTAGTTATGTTGCTGACGAAAATGGTTATCAACCAAGTAGTGATCAAATTCCAACACCACCACCAATTCCAGATGCCATTGCTAGAGCATTAGAATATATTCGTACACATCCATCATACGAAGATCAACAACCATACCAACAACAACAATATAGAGCCGCTGCACCACCAAAATCGAATTATAACCGTAATGCTTTTGGTCAACAAAAGAAAAATATTTACGGTTAGACGGAGAATATAATTATGATGGAAAAATTTGGAAAAAGAAAAACGAAAATAAAGGAAAGAACTATATAAAAGGACTAGTGTATATAAACCAAAAACAAAAAAAAAATGGAATGTGTAATAATTGTTTTTCATTGTGATAGAAAAAATTTTTTATACAAAAAAAAACCTTGTAAGTTTCTTTTTAATTTCTTTGTAACTTGAAATAGAATAATTTTTTTTGTAAATAAAATATAAAAGAATCAATTAACATTTTTTCATTTTTTTACCAAAATTTCAAATACTGATGTTGTTACGTAATGTAAAACTGTTGATTTATGTGGATTTTAATTTAATTCATTTTATACCATTTTTCACCTCGATTATTACAAACAAGAACCCAAGCAAAACTATATTTTATGTTATGGATTAGTTCATGAAAATGTTGAAGTTGAAAATATTTGGTGAAATTTAAGAGTAACGTGAAAAATGACATTGAATCAGCGGCATCTAGTGCATTTATATAATACTTTCGTTTTCATATGTTAAAAAGATTTTACAGAAAAACGTGTGACAGCACAAACAGTCATACCAAATTATTTGTTTCGACGCTTTGAAAAAATGTAATTTTCCATGCAAATGTTTTTTTTATATAAATGCACTAGATTGCATTTATATATTCCAAGCATTTTTGATTTGAAATCTTTGAAAATTTTACATTAACTGAAATCACTTGCACCTTTTGCTAATGCTATTCAAACGAATGATTTTATAAAAGTGCACACACACAAGTTTGAATTGTATGGTAGCCAAATATACGTCACTAACAGCATTAATTTTCATCCAACAACGTCAATATTTTTCAAATATTTATTCACGAATATTAAAACTGACAGTTTAGAAATGAAATTCGTACTTTTGTAAAATATATTTTCTCTTTTTTTTTAAGATTTTAAATGTCATATAAAAAAATGCTCATATGACATTCACATAAAAAATTTTATAGCAATATTGTTTATTCCATAGATAATGTACATACATATTTATATTAACTAATTATAGTATTGGTTTATTCCAATAAAAAACGAGTAACCTGCATAGGAATTTATGTATATAATTTCTTAATAAATGAGATAGTGGAAATGAAATAGTTTTAGAAGAACTTTGCAATATCTACCTATGTAATTGTGTTTACAGGTATGGCATATCTATACATAAAATTTCAAGAAAATCTAATGATTAAATTCTTAAAAATGTAAAATCTGTCTGTATTAGGCAGTAATTTTAACATTTACTTCAACAGTACAACAAATTGTCCCATTTGCTCAGATAATCGTTTTCTTGCAAAATACTTTCACTAAAACTGTATTGTGCAGACAAACAAATAGGCAGACAAAAAAAGTCAAAGTTCTCTCGATTTTTTATAATTTCTCTCGAAAAATAATTTGTTTACCTTTGTTCTGAGATGGGAAATTTTAGTGCGATCGTAATATTTCCTTAAGCGTATGCAATGCTGCTAGTTGTAAAAAATTCGCAATATGTCAATAAATTACCACAAACATATGCTATTTTGCATTAAAATTTACAAATTATAAAAATTTTTTGAAAAAAATAAACAAATTTCAAAAGGGATTGTTGAGATTGTTCATAAAATGTCAGTTCGATTCAACCACTTGGTGAGAAAGTATGTCTGGAAAATACTAAGAGTAAATTTTTTTTTCTTTGTTTAATCATAAATGAAAATAAAATAGAAATAAACAATTTTTCTTCTGGTTATAAAGAAATAAACAATTTAACAAATTATTCCATTTTGACAAGATGAAAAAAATGAATTTTTAAAAGATATAAAACAAAAGTGAAAATAAAAAACGAGCTTAAAATGGCGAACAAAAGTGCGAGTTTAAGGCAAAATGAGAAAATTGAATCACTTCAAAAAGAAAATGATAAATTAAGAAAAAAACTTAGAAACCTTAAAAAACTTTATGAATCAATTAAGTCTAGTAGTGAACTTTTAGAGAACTGCTATTCACCTTTAATGGAGGTGACGAATATAAGTGAAGATGTTGTATCTAAATTTAGTAATATATCAACCAAAAGTAAAAACGATGACACGGAAATTTCTGATCAATTCGAAAAAAACCAAAAAATTAAACCACTTTGCAACAATCAAAATATAGTTAATGGAAACAGAGCTGAGCAAAATATTACATCTCAAACATTATCCACCAAAGATAAAGACGTTAACTCAGAAATAGCTGATTCCGTAGATTATATTGAAATATTAAGGAAAAAAAATATTGAAAAACGCAAAATGAGATCATTTAGCAACAACCAAAATGGATTTAATGAAAAAAAAGGTGAGCTAAATATTACATCCCAAATATTATCCACCAAGGATAAAGAAGTTAACTCGGAAATGGCTGATTCCGTAGATTATATTGAAATATTAAGGAAAAAAAATATTGAAAAGCAAAACCAAAATAGAGCTAATGAAAAAAAAGGTGAGCTAAATATTACATCTCAAATATTATCCACAAAGGATAAAGAAGTTAACTCAGAAATGACTGATTCCGTAGATTATATTGAAATATTAAGGCAAAAAAATATTGAACAACGCAAAATGAGATCATTTAGCAACAACCAAAATGGATTTAATGAAAAAAAAGGTGAGCTAAATATTACATCCCAAATATTATCCACCAAGGATAAAGAAGTTAACTCGGAAATGGCTGATTCCGTAGATTATATTGAAATATTAAGGAAAAAAAATATTGAAAAACAAAACCAAAATAGAGCTAATGAAAAAAAAGGTGAGCTAAATATTACATCTCAAATATTATCCACAAAGGATAAAGAAGTTAACTCAGAAATGACTGATTCCGTAGATTATATTGAAATATTAAGGCAAAAAAATATTGAAAAACGCAAAATGAGATCATTTAGCAACAACCAAAATGGACTTAATGAAAAAAAAGGTGAGCTAAATATTACATCCCAAATATTATCCCCCAAGGATAAAGAAGTTAACTCAGAAATGGCAGATTCCGTAGATTATATTGAAATATTAAGGAAAAAAAATATTGAAAAACAAAACCAAAATAGAGTTAATGAAAAAAAAGGTAAGCTAAATATTACATCTCAAATATTATCCATCAAGGATAAAGAGGTTAACTCAGAAATGGCTGATTCCGTAAATTATATTGAAATATTAAGGCAAAAAAATATTGAAAAACGCAAAATGAAATCATTTAGCAACAACCAAAATAGTGTTAATGAAAAAAAAGGTGAGCTAAATATTACATCTCAAATATTATCCACCAAGGATAAAGAGGTTAACTTAGAAATGGTTGATTCTGAAGATTTTTTTGAAGTACTAAGTAAAAGAAATGCTGAAACAAAACAAAAAATTAAACTACTTAGCATCGACCAAAATAATGCAAAAAACAAGCAAAATATTGCAGCTGATGATGTGAATAGTAATGTTGATAATAACCACCAGAAAAATTGTAATATTCAGAAGTGGATGCCTCCAATAAATGTTTTTAATACTGATATAAAATTTTTCAAGCAATCTTTGAAATCTAAGCTAAATATTGAAAATTTTTTAATAAAAGAAAAATCGGAAATGCATTCAATGATATACACGTGGAACATTACTGAGTATAAATCTATTTGTGACTGGTTGAAGAAAACCGGCATCAACTACTTCACTTACACGCCAAAAGAAGAGAAAAAAAATGTTATGGTTTTAAGAGGTTTAAATAGCTGTTATTCAGTTGATGAAATTTTACGATTACTCAGAAATGTTGAAAACGAACATGTGAAATTTGAAAAAGTTACTAGATTAACAACGAAGAGATCAATACAAAACAATATCAATTTGCCATTATATATAGTCCAAAGTTCACCTCAAAGTCTTACTAACGAGATTTTAAAAATAAGAGCTTTAGACAACCAAATCATAACATGGGAGAAAATTAAAAGAATGCCGGTAATTCAATGCTTAAGATGCCAGCGTTTTACTCACACAGCAGCAAACTGTTATATGGATTATAGATGCGTTAAGTGTGGTGAAAATCATAATCCGGGAGAATGTAAAATCAAAAAAGGAGACAGTAAAAAATCTCTCTTTTGTGTTCTCTGTAAACAAAATGGTCATCCAGCATCGTATAAAAACTGTCCAGTATATAAAAACGAAGTAAAACAAATTGAAAATAAAAAACATCTAATGAAAGAAAAAATTGCGAATAGGTATACTCCAAAGCTTCCATCTTTTATCAAACCGAACATGTCATATGCATTTGTAAGTAGAGCAAATTCTATCAACAAAACACCTTATTTTACAAATAAACCAAACAAATTGAATGATAGTAATTGTCGCGACAGTAATTTTGGTGTAGATTTCAATATAAAGAATGTATTACAACAAATAAATACAAGTATTTTAGCGTTTCATTGTAGATTTGCTGAGATCGACAAAGAATTTAATAACACTAATAACAGACTCGAACATATGTTTGAATTGATAAATGACTTGTTATCCAAACACCAATAATGTCTCAACTTAAAGAATATTAACTTAAATTTAATTACAGTTAATTTAAAGTCTTAAGTTTCGTATTGTAAACGATCTTCATTAAACGATCTTATGGATTTTGTTGAGAAAATTAAAAATTTAAATGTCGTAGTTTTCGTCAATGGAATTTAAACTCATGTATAAAAGAATGCTTAATATTAATTATTGCATAAAATTAAAATTTAACTTACATAAATGCGAACTGATTTTATTCTACAATACGGTAGACAAAGTTAATAATTGTAAGGCATATTTGGCGGTGCTTTCCCATTACAATACAATTCAGGTTAAAAAAAAAAGGGTGTAAAATATTTGCAATCATTAATTATGTAGAGCATTTTCATGCCAACTGTAAAATTACGAAAGACAAAAAAAACATTTATTGCAGCCAAAAATTTGTTTTGTAATACAAAAATTAGTAAAAGGGTTAAAAGTACAACACAAAACACAAAATTCAAATTTTTCCAAAGTCATATCTAGGGAGGATACATAGAATCATGACTAATAACAGGGTTTATAAGCGCCTAAGTATTTTACATTTTTAATTTTAGAGGTTTACATCCGCAATAGCAGTTATGTTCCTCTATTATTTCGTTATAATAGAAGGGTTACATGAAATCTGTTTGATATTGAATTGTCTAAGTAATACATCATTATTTTGATCCAAATAATGATATAATATTTAGTTGAAATTGATACGTATATATTTATACATATATATATTATTAAGAGATAAAAGCATTCGAAGGAATTATTGGTGTCGGTTAACAGATACATACTAAATTTCTTAAATAAAATTTAAATTAAATGTCAGTAGTAAATATATATTTAGATTAGTAGTATTAGGTTTCTTTAATTTTAAGATATCATAAGTATTTTTATAATTAGGTATTTGAATTGAATTTTCATTTTTTAAAATTTCCAAAAAGAAAAAAAGTCTACACAATTTATATTAGGAATTGTTAGAGTCACAAAGACGACAAAAGCTTATTTAAAACTGATTTAAAACTTTAATTAAAGTAAGGTAATCAAATTTTAAATATTCAAATAGTTTTAAGATTAAATTAAGGATCATTGTTTATAAAAGTTTTTTCTGTATCAAATAAAAGAATTAAGAATAAAACCAAAAAAAAAATGAAAAAAGAAAAAAATTCATAAATTATGTTCATTGCACAATTTATCATTCCGTAACGGAATGTTAAATAATTTTTTAAGTTACCTTTTTAAACTAACTGACCAAGTTCGGAATGTCAATGCAATCTAAATGAAAATCCTATTTAATTTGTTTAATTGGATATTATTTTTTTTCTCGTTGTAATGTTTTCTTCAGAGGCACTTGCTTTACTATGTAAATCATCATGTCAGTAAACCTTTCCATGTTTCTCGATAATTTATCTTCTTTTAGTTTATATGGACAAATGATCTTGAATAAAAGTCGAAGATTACTGATTTTTTATTAATTTTTCCTTGCATTATACATCTAATTAATTAGATTTTCTATGCTAGCTGCATCTTGATATTTTTATTGCACTTCTTGAATCTTGAATATTTATTGCAAGCTTCAGCTGATTTTTGATTTAAATTAATTAGTAATCAAAGAAGGTTATATAAAAAAAACCTTATAAATTACTCGTTAAGTGAAAATAAAACAAAAAATCTAATTCTAAGAAATTACAATGCTAATAATCTGACGAACAATTTGTAAACTTATTTAAAATACAAGTTATTTATTTTGTTTTAAGTGTACTTTTTTTCAATTTTTAATTTCTAGTTTTCATTAAAGTTTTACAACTTACTAAAATTTATAAACGAACAAAGATTCTAAATGTGATGTAATGGTTTTTTAATCAATGATTTCGGTGGCTTAATAAATAACTTTCAAATATATTTCGACAATATTTTGCTCCTAAAAATCTAGTAATGCTAAAGCAAAGCGTCGCCTCCTTTCAATAATATTACGTCGAATTTTTCTTAACTGTTGCATTACAGGTCGTCTTCTTCTAAATCTTCCTATCATATCAATATTATCATTTGGTAATAAAGCTAAAGTATAGGGTTCATCATTGTTTTCTTTAACTTCACCTGATTTGACATATGGAGGATTTGCTGATACGGTCACAAATAATTCACCTAATACGTCTCTAAAATATTTATAAATATATTTTTTTCTTATATCGATAACAATATTTAATTAATCGCTAATTATAACTTACGATTTTCTTTCTTCCATATAACCCATTTTAAATTTTTCTGGCCAATATCTTGCTGGATTGAGTGATATACAAGAATTTGGCTTTTTTCGTGCCATAAAATCGTATGAAAATGCAAGATTATAGTAATAAGGGCATAATCCATGTGATCCATATGGTGGATCACTGGCGCCTGGTTGATTAAATCCACAATAACCAATTCGCCAATTTTGATGACATCCAGTGTAATGACGTGTACCTTTATCTCGACTAGTATGAATGCATTGAACGTTCTCTGCTGACTTTTTATAATCAACACTACCAAATTTCATATCAAATCCGGGTCCAGCCATATCACAAGCTTTAATATAAATTAAGAAATCATTACAATCTGTTCATAATATCTTTTATTTTTTTGAAACTTTATGTTTTACCATCTATAGATTTGATGACACTGGAACCAAATCTTCTTCCTACTGCAAGAGCAACTCTTGCACCAAAACTAAATCCAAACATATGAATTTTAGAGGGTTTTAAACCGCTTCTTTCCCAAAGAGCCATTTTATTATAAATAACTGATGTAATTTGATCGTATTTTTGAACAAGTCGCAAATAGGGTCCTATAGAGTAAAGTCCATAGTCAACTATTACTATACATCCGCCGCGATATTTCGAAAAATCTGAAAAGCATATTATTAATTTAAAAAAATAAAAGTACGTGTAAGTATATAAACATTTAAATTATATTTATTACGAAGGACTACGTACGAGTTGAGTTGTTCACTTCGTTTTTTACACCGACAAAATGTAGTTGACTATTTCAATTGGTTAATTGTCTATATATTTCATTTCATTAACTGTTGTTATATGCAGATAAATATTTTTTATGTGTACATATTGTATTTACATAATAAATAAATAAATATAAAATTATGTCTGACTAACCAGCATAACGGTAAATAATAAAACAACTGAAAGCGTAATCATTCAAATTTATACAAGGTGACGCGAAGAACAAAAAAAAATTGCTATACAATTTTAGAGAGCGAAATAATTTAATATTATTGAAATATGAATTTTTTATTTTAGTGAAAAGAGTTTTACTTCAATTGTCATCTATAGAGAGATGGTCCGTGTAGTCGTAGATGCTCCGATATATTTATCGCTTCATCAGAAATGTAATTATAGTGTAAATTTTGTAAAAGGTCGAACATTACAATAAAATCGCCCTTTATAATCATAGCCTACCATTTACAATATAATTAAGATTGAGCTCAGATTTTTAGTTAAAAGTTAAAACTGCTAGACACAGTCTGTTTTCTTCGTTATTGAAGTGTAAAAAGTAGGCCGTTTCAGTTTGGAAAAACTTGCAGTTGCTTATTTATTTAAATTTTGGCAATGTAGTTTTTGAGTAAACTTGAGTAAATTCTTAATATAATTAAAGTTTATCATTGTTTATATAAAATAATTTACTGAAAAATTTAATAAAAAAAAAACAAAATAAAACATCATTGTCAAAAGTTATTACATCTGAACAAAACACCGTATAAATTGATAACACTTGCATTATTATTTCTCTTTTCTACACTTTATATTATCTACATATATGATATATATGTAGGTCGAGATATTACTTAATCATGTTCAATATATGAGGAAAAGAAACTTACATAAATTCGTAATTCATCTCTTAATAAAAGTACAAATCAAGAAAATAATCCTGTTTTAACAAATTTCATTCATTACATTTAGACCGGTTCCAGGTCATTTTTACATAATTTTCTTGTTCACTATTTATTATTTCTCTGGTTCAAAAGAAATAGTAATTTCAAAAAGAAAAAATGGTCATGAATTTTATCGTATTTGTTGTCGTTCACAAAATTTTTACTACAAGAAATTTTTGAACATTTTTATTTACCTTAGAAAATTGTGCAAGTGCAATACGAGTATTTGGAATAAATTATTGTGGAGTTTAAGATGATTTTTATGATTTACATTAAATTGAAGAAACATGCTATATATGTATATGTGAGAGTTTAGATTATTTGTAACGCAACCATCGAATTCGTATAGCCTAGTTCGATTTAGATGTAAATATTTAAAAACATTATGTTTAAGTTGGATTTCTTTTAGTCAAACTAAATTGATCTTTCTCTATTTCAAATTGAAAAAAATTATGAGCTCAAATAAAAGCACTTTAAAGAATTATCATTTAAATGATAAAACTGATTATTTTTAATTGACAATTTGTACGCCCTTTGTTTTCGACAGGCAATTCTTTCAATGCTAAAATAGTTATCGAAACTAATCACTTGTAGCTTTTTGAGTCATTTGTTTTATATATTTCTGCAATAGTTTAGCATGTTTCTTACATTCTTTGAAATAAATCCTTTGAAGAGTAATAGGGTAATAACCGATTTGAGAAATTTTGCATTTATTTTGAGAAATTGCAGATTCTTTTTCTAGAGGATTTATACATAATCATGATATTTTTGAAAATTAATTGTATATGGCGTATAATGAGTATATAAAAAAAGGGCCTTCGTTGTTTGTTGTCCAATTTCTCTTTAATGGCAGGGGTGAATTTAAAAATTCTTAGTGCTTTATGTAGGTTAGTTTTTTATAGGATTTTCATTAAAAATTTTTAGGAAATTAATCTATTCGGGCCGAAGGCTCTATATAAAAGTTTTTCGTCGATTTGATGAATACTTGAGGTGTTTGCTGTATGAAAGTGGAGGTTTGAATTGTGAAAGTGACTAAAAACGAACAACTTTTATTTCAGATGTGATTTTGTGCTCATGCGCTATAATATTAACTGAGTTTTTATGAAGTGTAGAAAATGCAGCACGTTTTCATTACGAATATAGAAAATTATGTCTTTATGTAATTGAAAGTGATTGCACACAATTTAATCGTTAAATATTATACTAAAAACAATGAATTGAATTTCAAGGAGAAGAAGATCAGGGAACCATTGATTTAACATAATTTCTATAGCATAATTACTTATAAAAGTTACATAAATTTACAAAAGCTGAAAGTAGTGTTTTATAATTGTATAAGCGGAAACTATATGTACATAAGGAATAATATATACATAACCGTATCTCCTATTTGAATGTGAAGAATTGAACAAAATATGTTTTAAAAATATTTAACAAATATTGAACAAAATTTTAATGTTCTAAAAAAAAATGCCGCTTGAAGATATCAAAACTTGTATAAAATGTTATTGTATATATGCAATGAGTAGATGCCAAGTTTTAAAAGGAAGAATTACCGTGTTATATGTAAACCAATTTGGTCAAGTTAATCCATTTTAAGAGGATCTAAAAAACAAAAGAAGATATATAGAAATATGTACTTTCCGAGACGAAAATTTTAGAGAGATTGAAGTTAAAATAACAGAATAAAACCGTTAGCATAACCTGATATATACTTATTTTAGAATATTATAAAAAATTCACACTTACTAGTTACCATAATTGGTATCCATTCTGTATCAGCTTGTTCTCTCCATCCATGTATAATAACTGTAAAATTATCATCAGTACCGCAGCCCATAATTTCCATTGTTTCAGTACTTGTACCATTTGCTGAGTATATTAAATTCCCATCTCTATAATATTATTTATTTTCATATTAAAAAAATATTATAATTTTTCATATTCAAAATTTTCTTCTAATTTTATTTTTATTACTCGTATATGTTTTCGCGATAATTACATATTTCGTTAAATTTTGTTATATATAAGAATTTAGTAAAAAATTTACAAAATTTTTTTCATTTATTTTGTTAATTTAATAATATTTTGTTTTTATTTATTTCACACTCACTTTGTTACAAGAAACAAAATTTCTTCAGCAAATTCTTTTCTCCGCAATTCTCGTAAATTGCTTAATGGACCTAATGGATCAAGTCCTACCAATGGATAATCTAATACATTATAAACTGGATTATTTAATCCAAAACTTATATCATCAATATCATTAAGATCATTATCAATACCATCAATATCATAATCATCATCGTAATAGACATCATTATTCCGATAATTATTATTAATAATTTTTCTATTAAATTTTTTATTTGGGGTTGTACTGATATTGTTATTAGTACTGTTATTAAATTTATCACAATAAATGGAATTGTTAAAAAATAATAAAATTAATAAAATATTAAATTTATATTTTAACATAATTTTTTTTTGTTTTTAGCTAAGAAAGAAATTTCCTTAACAACTTTAAAAAAATATTTTTAAAGAAAATGAAATTAAAAATTAAAAAATTTAAAAGTTGACCTTTTCCAGTTGATGGCCAATACGAAATTGTGATGTGATCATGAATGCCGATTGCCGAATAAAAATGTGATGTTAAATGCTTTTTCTTTTTGGGGGAAATTTTTTTTCTTATATTTTTTTTTTTTTGGTAAAAATATTTTTTTGGATACGTTTTTTCACTTTACTTTTATTTTTTCTTTTGTTTGGTTATTGCCAATTCTTTGTAATTCGAATATAAGCTTCCTAAACAGAAAGGTATCTGTATATCTAAATTAAAGGTTGTTTGTTTGTGTTTTAGCCATAACGATGGCAGATTTGCGTTTCACATTTTTTTTTTGTAATCTTGATTTGTTTTTCTTCTCTTTCGTCAAACATTCATAAATTAAAAATGATATTAAAAGTGGTGAAATTTTATCTTCATCCGAAAATATGCGCCAATTTATCAGAATAATTTAAAAATGTATGTAAGTATGTGTTCATTTACATTTTAATCTGACTAACTTTAAAAATTATTATTTTTAGCAAAAAAAAGGAAAAAAAAACGTTTAAAATCTTATTATTATCACCATTATATAATATTTTTCATTGTTTTTTTTTTACTTGTGTATCACGTTGGCCGTACCGAGCGGTAATTTCATTTTTATAAGTTTTTTTAGTACTTATTGATTGCGCTAAACAATATTTACTACTGGTATTTTATTTCAAACCAAACATAACGTTCAGAGTAGCACAATATGCGTTTTATTTTTACGCTGTATAACTTTTAAGTAAATGGAAAAATATAAAAATTGAAAATATAATAAAAATAAAAGTTGCTTTTCACCCCATTTGAATTGAGGAAATAAGGAAAAAAGAATGAAAACAAAATCGATAAAATTTGTTTAAAACCCGTACTCCGCAGATGGTAGGTAGATACAGTCGAACACAGTTAATTGCAACACGCATGCGAACAAAAGTCTTTTATATGCGTAATATATTTCGCTTACATGTAATGCTTCATTGCAATTCGATTAAGAATACAAAATTTTTATACAAGCACAAAAAATTTTTGACAATTTTGTTATTGTTTCAAACTCAATATTATTTCATTAATGCAAACCTTTTACTTATTGTTATCCTACACATTGTCAATTCTGAAATTTAGATTTCTGAATGAAGTTGATAAAAAAATTTAATTTTGCAAAACTAAAATGAATAATTGTACGACACTAGGTGTATACAAAAAAAACGTTGTCAAATTCGGTGGGCATAAAAAGTGTTCGACTGTAGTTATTTTTTTAGACAATTTTACTATGAATACGAGTTATTTTCAAAAATAATGTTCTACCTTTCGTCTATTTTGAATTGAAAAGGTTTTTTTTGAGAAATAGGTTTCTCGCAAAAATTCATTTGTGTATAGATTGCAGCTTTTTAAATTAAAAACTGTCTAAGTTTCTTAAAAAGATGATGCAAAAACAGACGCACAGTCTGAAACTCAAAATAAGCACATTTTTGCATAATTTTGTTAGGAACGTATTTTAAAGCTGCGTAAATGTGTTGTAGATAATCTCCTTGACAATTAACTAGACATGAAAATCTTGGGTTTTTCTCTTTTTTCTTAAAAATTACTTAAAAATATCTTGTATAATAATAAAAACCAATATTTTTTTAACGCATTAAAAAACATCTGAAAAGGTGAACTAGAATTTGAATTTAACAATATTTCATAAAAGAAATTTAAATATGTAATTTTAATTATGAACGGTATAATTAAATAAAATTTACCGTTTACTTAATACAATGGAATTCGACAATATTTATGTTTATTTATCTTCAAAATGCCCCCAATTTAAAAAAAAGAAACAAATTTTTATGTTTTTCACAAACACGCGTACACATTTTAAAAATGGTACAGAAAGAGCAATTAAAATAAATGAAAAAGAAAATATTTGCACTTGTACCGTTATTTTATTTTTATATACTTATGTACATGAGCCCATACCTAACATTATTTAAAAAATTCGTGTGTTGCACAACTACGTACTAATTTAGTAGTTTTTTGGAAATGTGACAATAAAAGTTTATTCACCTCACCTGCGTCTATTACTGCTTTTATTGTTAAATTCTTGCTTTTACATAATAATGCAGACACACATATATAAATAAAATATCGATAATTTTACGCGATTTTTGTAGTATGCTTGTATCTTAAGGGTGCGGTGGCCAGCTGTCTTCTTTTTATTTCCTTAATTTTTATAATGTATTTCTTTTTAATATGTTATGTCTTCTTGTTTCGCTGAATAGGGATTCTTATACGGAAATAACTATATAATACGAGTATGTAAGTATTTTTGTATGATTTTGCTTTGCATTGTTATTTCAATTTCAATATATGATATTTGTATAAATTGTGATTTACATATTGTAAAGTTTCCGTGACTTCAAAATTGCAGTAATACTATATCGCAACACAAATCAGCAATTACAACAAATACATACTGCATATATGTATGTATATATGAAAATCATAAGGCAGAACGCACAAATATATTTTTTAGTCAATAATGTTGTCGGTTGAATACCCTTTGCCTATAAAATACTGGTTTAGGAACTACGATAAAAGAATATTGTTTGTCGGTTGTACAAAATCTCAAGGTTATTGATAACGGTTTTGTAATACTCATGCAATTTATGGAAATGGTAGTAAAAAAATGTATTACTACAGCTTTTATCGACTTAATATTTCTGAATTCTCTAATAAAAAACAAATTTTTGTACATGCTGAATAATTGCGTAAGAATTAAGTAATATAATAACTTGAACTTAATTTAAGTAATATATTGAAATGTGTGGCATTTAAGTGCATAAAATTGTTAAGCATTATACTTCTCATATACTCCATACAAAGCAAAATATCGTTAAGGTACAATTTGTGTGCAATGTGATCTACAAATACTTATTTTTAGGGTGTGTTATACAATCAACCGGATAAGTGCACATCCATTTTTTATTTTCTCATAAATTTGAAAGCTTAAAAGCTACAAAACTACATGACTAACTGCAAAATATAAAACATATTAATACAACCTCATCACATTTCAGTCCTCCAGTGTCATTTCGGGAATCTTTATATTAAATTTCTGAATTGCACGATTGGTGTCCTCTTCACTGCGTTTTATTGTATTTGTCTGCTGAGGTCACAAAATAAAAAATGTTTTTTAAATTAATTTTTTAATTTTATACCATATTAAATTGAATTTATATAGAGAAATATTTTAATATGCTATAATCAATTTAAGATTTAACTACTATTGCAACAAAATTAATTGAAAAAAAATATGCAAACTTACATGCACGTAAACAAAATGAAATGCGATCAAGTTCTTCTATTTTTTTGAATTTTTTCGTTAAACTAATTCTAACATAATGTGTTGGATATAATGGGTTTGAAAACAGGGTGTTTTGTTTTAAGAAATTGCAAATAATTTTTTCTTTTTTATATGTTTTTATTAATGAAAAATCCAGAAAAGGCATTAGCAATTGAAAATTATTACAGTCATATGGCAATCGGATTGGTCAATTATTTGAACACTATCAGTTGTATGTATTTTTAACAACACGAATAATATTGGCCTTAAAGGAAGTGATACTGGTGCAGCAAATAATATTACAGATTAATTGTCAGTTTTAAATTTCTTGAAATCAACTTATTTTGAGATTTTGATTTCAATAGGTCTGTAAAGTTATAATCATTATATACTGTTCAAACCTTATACTTAAATTTTCATTCCTTAAACTATATCATAGTGCTTAGAAATACATACATATGTACATAAATTAGATCCTTAAAAGTCAAAACAGAATTCTTAGAAAAAAAAAACACCCTATATAAATAGTGGCAGATAATTTTAGCTCAAAACAAATTTAATTGTTATACTTATTATGAGAATAGGTTTATGTACCGCGAACAGTTATAAAGAGCTTTCATAAAATGAAGAAAAATGTATTTATGCTTCATGATATGCGGAAATTATATTTTGAATTCTTCTCACTTACTTAATAGAAAACCGAATAGTTATTACAGCGATGGTCAATTCATAGTTAATAAATTTAATCACAATAATTATTTGCTTTAATGTATTTTAATCCAAATTATTATTTTGTATCATTTTTGGTAGTTTTATTTTTGAAATCGCGATTTTATTAAGTTTTAATTTGTAAAATGTAATTATATAACAATAATAAATGATAGATATATATACTGTATTAACGAATGTAATATGTGAACTCTTATAAAAATTATTTTGTGTCTAAATAAAAGTGTACGAGTATAGTGATTTTACAAACTCTAAGATGCAGATTCGTACGTGTAAGAATTTTTATATGAAAATTTCTTAAAAATTGCTTTAATAACTCAGATCGACTTTCACCGCTAGAAAAATTTTACTTAAAAAAAACACTCATTCTCAGATAAACAGTTCAATACATAACCAACCGATTGCGTGTATTTTCTAAGTAATTTCCAGTTAATTTCCTTTTGTAAGTTTAACAAAAGTACAAGGTTATGGAAATTTATTAAATAAAATTCAAAAAAAGCTAGTACCTAATTTTTTATTTAACTAATCTTCAGAAATGTTAATTTTGTTCTTAGGAGATCATTTTCTGGAACCTAATCAGTTAGATTCTTAATCAACAAAATTTAAATATTAAATTTTAAGAAATTTCTTTAATTCATTCCTTTAAATGTTATAAAATATAATAAAATCTGTAAACTTGTGAAAGTTTAGTTTCCGAACCCTGATATTGTCGAAAAGTTTATCAGTTCATTGGTTCAATTTCTAATATAAAAATATTGTAGTCAATTATTTACTTCTTCATAAACAAAAAAATAAGATTTATCCCTAGCATCAGTTCAATTATTAAGTTTCGCAAATTTGATGAATTCATTTTATCAATCAAAACAAATTCAGACACAAGTTTTCATGAAAAATCCGTTCAGCCTTAACCTTAAGATACGTGAGAGCACAGACAGACATATTTTCTTAAAAAACTTCATTTTAGTTTTCCCAGCATCTGAAAATGCATTTTCGTTGAAAACTCGACATAGAAAATTGGATGATATTCCAATACCTCTGCCTTATTATATTCAATGCGGTTAGTATAAAAATACATTGCTGTTATTAATTGCAGTTTATACTGTTGAGTGACTTTGCTTTTGCCACAAATTATATTATTTTTAGATAAAACATCACAAGTTTAATCAGAGTAATTATCTCGAAAATAATTATAGTTAATGATAACAGATCATAATTCTAGTATTTAGAGTTATGCATTCATTCACAGGCAATTCAATTTTTCTATTTTTATATTTCTGGTAATTATTATACGATTAAAAATATTTTTAGTAGATTGTAAATATTTTAGTAGATAATATGATACGATTGACAATTTTAGGATGGATTGAAAGTTTATTTTTTTTGCCAATAGAAAGACTTATTGCGATCACTCTTATTGCGATTAATGTGAATATAATCAAGTGACACGAATTCAAATAAACGTTATTTTGTTCTCTATTACAATATCGATTGTACTGGTATTAATCAAAACTAATGCTAAGGGTTTCTTTGTAAATTAGATTAACCGATAACTGCTGGGGCAAAACGAATCTAATATTTGGTATCATATTTTATATAACACAATAATCAATGAACTTTTTAAATTTGTGTATTCAAAAAACTAATTTTCGGTTTCTTTTTTTTTGGAAAT